TGTTTTATCACAGATCAGTGTCATGGGCATCTCTCCCTCAGATGTAAATGACATCTGGTTAAGTGTTTTATGCAATAAAGTGGACATTTTGAAACTTTAAGAAAAAATCCACTGGACTAGACAAAATTACTTCATTCCCACTCATAACATTCTATACCAGGGATTTTCAGTACGTGTATCCCAAGAGGATCTTAGATGTGCCATGAAAATTTTGAAAGATCATCAATTCAATTATTGTTATTTATTTATTTTTAGAGACAGAGTCTCACTTTGTCGCCCTTTAGAGTGATATGGTGTCATAGCTCACAGCAACCTCCAACTCCAGGGCTCAGACGATTCTCTCGCCTCAGCCTCCTGAGAAGCTGGGACTACAGGCACCCGTCACAAAACCCGGCTATTTTTTTGTTGCAGTTAAGCCAGGACCCAGTTTGAACCCACCATTCTTGGTTTATGGGGCCGGTGCCCTGCCCACAGAGCCACAGGCACTGCCCCATTAATTAAATTATTTTCAAAAGAAGTCAAAGAATAGTAAGCATACTCTTTTTTTTTTTTTTTTTTTGATCCACATGATTCAAGTGTGCCACAGACATCTTACCTATTAGGTACAAGTGAGATTTAAAAAAAAAAGGTTGGAAAACACTGTTCTGTACACTAATATCCAATAATGTGCATTGTAAATTTCCAAACATAGAATATAGTGCAGACCTTTTGCCTACATGACCTTTTATTAAAAATGGACTCTCCTAGGACACATTCTGTGTTGCCTTGGCAGGCACTGCTATAGTGTCATATTTGCACGTAACTTACTACTTATCATGTATAGAAAGGAAAAGTAGCTTGTTTTAGCCCTCATTCCTAAGAAAAACAGCTCTTTCATTTCTTTGTCTAGGAAAAATAGTTATTTATGAAATCTTGGTTTCACATTTCTAAGCTCTTGCATTCCATATGAAAAAAGGGTACCTTGCATCTTATCTTGAATGTGAGAACTTTTCAAAAAAAATTGTAATGTCTATATCAATTTAACATATAAGTATTTTTTATATTTCATTTCAAAACTCAATGATTTTTGTTAATATACTAGATTATGTTAACTTTTTATCATACATTTTGCCAGTTTTTCCAACGTGGGAGAGTTTATTGGCTTACAACTCTATAGATTCTCTCATCATTTCCTTTGTTAAGAGGCAAGTGGTGGGGTACAGTTTGCCTGTGGCACCAAATCTGATTTCTGCTGCTTTGTTCGGGGGCTCTCCCTAATCCAGCCCTACTCTCTGGGGGATGCAAACGCATTTCTGCCCATTCCCAGCACACTGCCTGTTCTCCTGTCCAGCTCACCTCCAGCCTGCCCTAAACATAGCTGTGATCCTCCCCATCCCACCTGTTTCACTCATGCTTCAGCTGGGGAATCAGAGGCCCTACACGTTTGGAAGATGATTCACTAGACACACAGAAATTAGAGATTACACAAATGGGGAAGGAGCCGGACAAGTTGATGCCCAGAGGAGGAGGTGTGAAATCAGAGTAATCCTCACTAATTGGTCCCATCAGAGGGACATGGTAATCTGGGTTTCAGGAGATTCTGAGACTGTCACAGACTGATGAATGCCCCCCAAGTTTATATGTTAAAACCCTAACCTTCACTGTGATGGTATTTGGAGGCGGGACCTTTGGGAGGTAATTGGGTTATGAGGTTGGAGCCCTCATCATGGGATTAGTATCCTTATAAGAATATGAAGAGGAGAGGGATACTTCTTTTTCTGTCTCTCGACCATGAGAGGATTCAGCAAGAAAACCACTGTTCATAGCCAGAAACTTCCCCTTATGAGGAAGCAAATCAACTAGCCCTTGATCTTGGACTTCTTTCCCTCCAGGATTATGGGAAATAAATGTCTGTTGCTCATTCACCCAGTTGGGTACTTTGTTGCAGCAGCCTGGGCATGTGGGATGCCAAGCCAAGAGAGGCTGAGACAAGAGGCTCTTGAGTCCAAGAGTCTGAGGTTGCTGTGAGCTATGACACCACAGCACTATACCCAGGGTGACAGAGACTGTCTCAAAAATAAATAAAAGGGATACCAGGCCTGTCTACCCAGAGAAGAGATCTTTGATTTCTAGGACAAGCTGTCAAGCCTGTGTGGACATTGTCTCTGGGACCTACTGGCATGTCCCTGGTGGTGGCCCAGGGGTCACCCTTGGTCATAGGGCCATAATCAGGAAGCCAGTGGGGCATGAAGGAAGGTGCTGGGGTCCACCAGCCCTGCTGAATGTGACGAGTAGCGTCTCTGCCTACGTTCACCTTCTGACAGAAGCAGATGTGTCTTCCCTTCCTTTCTGCCTCTCTGCTCTGGAAATCATAGGGAATTCTATGAAAAGTAGTTCCCAGAGGCTGAAGCAGGTGGATTGCCTGATTCGAGACTAGCCTGAGCCAGAGCAAGACCCTGTCTTTAAAAAATAGCCGGGCATTATAGCAGATGCCTGTAGTCCCAGCTACTTAAGAAGCTGAGGGTAGAGAATCGCTTGAGCCGAAGTTTGAGGTTGCTGTGAGCTATGATGCCACAGTGCTCTACAGAAGGTGACAAAATGAGACTCTGTCTCAAAAAGAGAAAGGAAAAAGAAGTAGTTACCAGATTTAGCTAAGGTGACCCAGCACCATCCTGCAAGACTGCTCCTTACCAACACAACATCTACAAACACCTCCTTTAACCGTGGTTATCTTCCAAATAGAGACCCTAGCAAAATCGTTCTTCCACCTAACATGACGCAGCCACCCTTGATGTATCACCAAACCAATGCTGATTCTCCCCCAAAGGAGGATGCCTAAACACGCACTGTGTCCATCCCCGGTTGTCTCTGAGACACTCTGTCTCTGAGACCTTGTGTCTTAAGTACTCAGAAATAAGATTATCCATTATTAACACATCTCCTGTTAGGCGAAAGGAAACAGGAAGAGAAGAAAAGACTAAGAATTGCAAATACATTCATGTTAAAGAAAGGAAAAAAATGAGGATAACCACTCTAGACCTTGTTTTTAGAACAGGGCATGTGGTAAAATTGGATCATTATTTATGAAGTTGCTGCATTTCCTTCTACCAGCTCCTTGTTGGTCTGTTTTTATTCTCGGCAGGAACTTCAGCTAGTCGTGGTTCCTTGCCTGATGCGGTGACCCAAACTTCCACTCTTCAGGGCCAATGGCTTTGTTATCAGAGAGATCATGGAACAGCAGGGTCCTCTGGGGCACCCTGATCATCTCCAGCACTGGAGAGGCTCCTCCCCGCCCACACTAGGCCCCAAGTTTCCTCTTGGCAGTGAGATCCCTCATCTCAGTCACTTGTATCATCCCCTGTGTCTGTAAATTCAGAAGGAAGACCAACCCTTCCCACAGCTAGAAGTGTCTGGGGTTCACTGAATCACTATCTATGCTGTTGATGCCCTGACTTTATTTTATTTTATTTTTTAAATTATATATCTTTGATAAAGTTAATGTTTTCAATACAGAGCTGTACTAACAATGATTACATACTGTCTTCTAACTGTACCCAGTTTTATCTAGATTAGAGATCTTTTCCTTCTCCTGGAATATACATTCCTTAAGGTCTATCTGTTTCTTTATCGCCTCGAGAGGTACTTTCATTAACAAATCCTCTCTAAAGTCTTTAAAAAGTCACTGGAATTCTCTGTGCTTATACAATGCAACACAAGATACAGAATTTTAGGAAGAAAAACTGATACAAATGTCATCCTTGATCTCCCCTGAATTGTTCATCTCTAATACATACTTTGCTCCCTGCAATATCGCTCCTGTGTCTCGGCAACCTAAGCTAATGAAGGCTTACTGAACGAAAAGCAATTTGCAGGCACATCCTGGCTGGAAAAATGGTAATAAATAAAAGCTGGATTATCTACTCTAACTAAATTTTTTATTATCTTCTCCACTGATTCCAAGGTTTAAAAGATGACTGAAAAACCTACTCGTGTATTAATCTATATTCCAGAGATTTCCTCACTGTCTCAATTTTATGCCTACAAGCAGACACATCAAAGACACATCTACCTAGATAAAAGAAAAATTGTGGTGAAATAATTGTCTAGAAATTTCACTCATCCTGAGATTGCCGAGGCCATGTCTGACCAGGCTTAGTGCAATGTCTAATGCAAAGCCAGTGTTTTGTTATGGGTGATGTCATTGTTACTACTGGATCATTATTTTTTACAGAACTGAAGTCATTTACCCGTGTTGGAGGCAGGACATCAAATCATCTCAAGAGTTTCTTTTACTTCTTTGGAAAATTTCCTTTTTTTTTTT